GCGGACTTGGTGCAAGCGGTAGAGTCTTACCGCCTATGACCGGAAGGTCCCGGGTTCGAGTCGCGGTCTCATCGCATTGCACAGACGAGGGTAAGGCTCGCCACTCACACCCTTCCCCAGACCCCGCACAGAGCGGAAGCTCCCTGCACTGGGTACGCCCTTTTTTTTCCCATTAAGCTGCATTCTCTTCCCCCATGTAGTTTCAGAAACCAACACTATGGTCCTAGCTAATCCCTCACATAGCGAAGCAAATTCAACACAGCAAGCTAGCTAGTCGTCAGTTGGAATCTCAAAAGCAAAGGAAAATCTCAAGGCCACTGACCTCGGGGCCGGCGGCATGTCGGAGGCACAGAGCAGGGGAGCCGGGGGATTCGTCAGGGCCACGGGCGTCTTCCTTTCCGGCCTCCGGGATCGGGTGCGCTTGCCTGCGGCGCGCCACGCGGGCGTGGGGTCGGGTTCCGCTCCAAAGGAAGTCGGCCGGAACTCGGGCGTGGGGTCGCGGGCGGCGCCGAGCAGAAGCTGGCGGCACAGAGCAGGAGGGTGAGGGTTTGGTGTGGGCTTTTGGCTTACATGGGCCAAGTTTTGACCCAAAGTGATGTGTCAATATTAGAGCATCTCGTGCAACACTGACTGACAGGTCTTCTATTCCCTAATATAATATCTTATATATTCTTTATTACTTGCCAGCAAATCGTAATGATTTCTACTATGGGCTCGCACGGCAATACCAAAAGTAAACCATGCAAAGTTGCAGCAGGCAACGTGTGCCATACTAACCATAGGAACAATCTGGTACAGAATCCTATCACTCACATTACTCATTGCTACAAGGTATATACAAGTGAAAACAAACTGCACAATAGGATTTTAAAAGGGCTATCATATATAATACTAATAAGACAATGCCATTCTGAGATAAAGAGGGCTATCATATATAACTTGGTCTCTATCAATCATTGTCCAGTCTGACGGTGTCAGGTGATGATAACTTCGAAGTCGAGTTGGACTGGGCCTCCAGCTTTTGTGGGGCGTCCATGCTGGTCTTCCCCGCCTCCACACCTTCCTCCAAGTACCTCATGACCCTCTCCAATGCTCCTAAATAGGATAACATTATTAGGTAGTAATCTATTCTCAAAACTATGCAAAAGATCGCTTAAGAACGAGGTCACATATAAATTTAGTTGTCACATTCTCAAGCTCGAGTCATTGGTCCTTGCATAGCGGTTGGAGAATCAATGGGTGCATCCGAAGGAGGTATGTCCTGATCACCTCCGGAGTTATATTCGGTGCCTACTAGAAGCCTCCAAACACTTAGTTTTTCGCCTCCTTTTCAAATGTGCTAACTCCTCAAGTGTTTCAACAACTTAGGCATGCTCGATCATGTCATATCGCTGCCAGGTTGTGGTCTGAATTGGCAGCAATAGCCGGCTTCACTGCTCGATCAGTAGGATCCCAATCATTGCCCAGATCCTAGGCTTATGACACGACAGTGAAATCAGATCAGTTCCGGCTCTAGTGCAACTGGCAGCGACAAGCCGACAAGGATTGTCTGTTATATAGTAGGGGTGATTAGGATTAACCTTCAACGTCCTTTTAATCAGGCAGTTAGTATACGCTAGTGTAAATTACCGACTTCGGGGCATCGGTCATCCCACCAAGCGATGGTTCATAGTGTATATAAACCTGATCAGTGTGAATGGGAGAAGTGGAGTTCAATCATTTTCATTCTCTTGTTCTCGATTTACATACTCAGCCCGTGTTTAGTTCCCAACTAAAATCCCAAAAAGTGCTACAGTACCCATCACATCGAATCTTGCGATACGTGCATGGAACATTAAATGTAGATGGAAAAAAAAACTAATTGCACAGTTTGGTTGAAAATTACGAGACGAACGTTTTGAGCCTAATTAGTCCATAATTGAACACTAATTGCCAAATAAAAATGAAAGTGTTACAGTAGCCCAAATTCCAAACTTCAACAAACTAAACACGCGCCCAAACAATATCTATTTAGGCACAGTCCGCAGTGACCTATATCAAAGACAGTGTGTACACCGAATGAAAGAATACTAATGTAAAGTGCAGAAAGAAGAGTAGATATCATAATCATTCAAGAAAGAAGGCAGTGTATATTTGACGCGATATAATATTGATATAATTCATCTTTCAAAATACAAACTAGCTAGTACAGGATTATTGTAGTAAACCTTCAATATATAGACACTCGGATGCATACACTGAATTTGGATCCTCGATCGATTTGGAGAAGGTCCAGTTTATTTATGCTGATCAGCGATATATATTTATAATGAACCAGTTTATTTATGTATTTTTACATGGCGGACGATGGCACGGCGGGGTCACCAGTCTTGGTCCGCAAGGAAGTGTAGGATCTCCCCAGCCACCTGCACGTGGACCCAAAAGCAGGCCGTCAAGGTCTCGTTTAGATTGAAAATTTTTGTAACCTAGACACTGTAGCACATTTCGTTTGTATTTGATAAACTTTGTCCGATCATGGACTAACTAGGCTCAAAAGATCCGTCTCGTGATTTACAACCAAGCTGTGTAATTAGTTATTTTTTTTACCTACATTTAATGCTTCATGCATGCGTCCAAAAATTGATGTGATGGAGAGAAAGTGAAAAAACTTGGAATTTGGAGGCAATCTAAACAAGGCCCAAGTATCAATTGCTCTTGCTCATTTTGTTAGGCTGTGTTTAGTTCTAAAAACTTTCTCAAAAAGTGTTACAGTAGTCATCACATCGAATCTTGCGATATGTGCATGGAGCATTAAATATAGACGAAAAAAAAACTAATTGCACTGTTTGGTTGGAAATAGCGAGACGAACGTTTTGAGCCTAATTAGTCCGTGATTGAACAATAATTGCCAAATAAAAACGAAAGTGCTACAGTAGCCAAATTCCCAAATTTCGCGAACTAAACACAGCCTTAAACAAAGTTGTTCATCACAGTTCAACAACTACAAAATTGATAGTATTTTCTATTTTAAATTGTCTGTGTGACTGCTGGGCATTTGGAGCCATGATAAACCATATGGTTGGAGCTGCTTATGCTAGGTCCTTTTCTTAGGCTCTGTTTGGATTGACCGGATAAACTTCAGCTGCTAAATTAGTTTAGCTGCTAGGGATCTAAAACTTAGCTAAACTTTAGCTGGAGGCTAAAATATATACCATCCGTTTAGTTGTTCCAATCCAGCTAAAGCGTGAGTAACGACAAAATCGCCCCTCTTTTTTCCGTGTCCATATTGGGCTCAACAAAACTAAGGGCAACATGGTAAATAAAAACCAATTATTTAGATGATCCAAACAACCACAGCTAAACTTTAGCTAGCCAAATTAGCTGGCAAGAGTTTAGTTAGTGTAGATCCAAACAGGGCCTTAGACGGCTCAACAGATGCTAGCTATAGCTATGAGAAACATTTCCTAAATGGTTCTAAACAAATAAACATGGGAATAACTATATTATTATAGATGTTCCAAAAGAGAATGTTCACTACTATGCCAATTTTGTTTCCCAGATGCAGCTCCATCAACAGTCATCTCTATAGAGACCTCCAGGGGGTAGGAACCATACTATCTCTAGAAATACAAATTCATAGACTGCTAAGATTTTCAAACACTTCTAAAATCTCCTAAATGGTTCTAAACAAAAAACATTATTAGGATAACTATGTTGTTCCCTCCATCCTAAATTATTAGTCATTTCAATTTTCTTAGAGAGTCAAAGTATCTCGAGTTTGACAAAATTTATATTAAAATAATAACATTTATGATACTAAATAAGTATCATTAAATTTCATTAATTATATTTTTATAGTGTACCTATTTGATGTCATAAATTTTTGTAATTCTCTCTATAATTTTGGTCAAACTTAAGATTCTTTGATTCTCCAAGAAAGTTAGAATGACTTATAATTTGGAATGGAGAGAATATTGAACTACCGAATGGTTTTAGTCTTTTTATTTATTTTTCTGTTTTTATTTCACCCGATAAGCAGTTATATTTTCTATTGAGATTCTTTGACCAAAGTAAACACTGATATTTGCTACCTATAAGTACGCAAAAGCGGATCTACGGCCCAGGCTGCCCATGCTGCTGCCCTAGTCATGCATAAGCAAAGCTACTTAATAAAAGGTGTAGAATTTATACAATTACAAAAGATTATAACTAATTTAGCTAAGTCAGTCGAAATCAATTTCTAGATCTGCCACTGTGTATTTAAATGTCTTATCTTATCTAACCCATTTTCTTCTTTCATCTTACTCTTATACCCTATAAATGTGTATCTTAAGATTTATGGTGCATATGGCATGACCAAGTGGACACATAGAGAGTATGTGATCATACCAGACCATCTAGGATAGTACACATGTCAAGTATACTAGTTATACTTATTTTATGTACTACTATCACGGTATTATAACAAATTAACAATATACTCACTCCTTTCCAAATTAGAAGACATTTTGGCATTTTTATATACATTGTTTTTACTATATATCTACATAGTGTATATTTAGGTGTATAGCAAAAACTATGTATCTAGAAAAGTCAAAATATCTTATAATTTAGAATAGAGTACTAAAAAATACAAGCTCCATTGAATTTTTTCCATGTAGTACGATTTGGAGTATCTTAAAATGAGCATATGAACATATTAAAACTGATAAATGAGCATGTACCCTTAGGGAAGGTGATTTACTAAAGATGGGAGAACATACTCTAAAATACTCGATCTGTTCCAAGTTATAAGATTTTGAATTTTCTAGATATATTATTTTTATTATGCGTGTAGATATAATATATATCTAGTATTTCACAGCGCATTGCTCCGCGGCCGCCTAGGTATCTTTGCAGCGCCAGTTGGCCACAACAGCTAGACATGCCATCCCTGGTGGCCTTATGTGCAGATCTGGCAGCTGAGCGGCGGGGGAGGAGGTGGGAACAGCGGGCTGCTACAGGGGATCGAGGAGGCATGGATGGCGGCGGCGGGGAGATGTGGACATTGGGCAGCAATGGCAGGGACCACCGGCGGTAGCGGAGATGGGAAACGCAGCTGCACGGCAGCAGAGATGGTAGACGTGGCTAAGAGGAGGCTGGTGGTGGCGCAGACAGAAGGGAGGAGTCTGGCCGCGACAAAGATGGAAGGAAGAGTCGCGCGAACGGGTGTGTGTGTGTGTGGCTGGGAGGCTCAGTTTTACCCACCGCATGCCGCTAGGGTTCGCAGCGCCGCCAATCCTCTGCAACTCCCCGACGGCACAGACTCGCCCGGCCCCCACGACTCCCCGGCGGCACGGACTCGCCCGGCCCCCCGACTTCCTGGCGGCGCGAACTCCCCCAGCTACCGCGGCCTGTCCCGGTCTGCGACTTCCCGGCGACACGAGCTGATGTGAACGCCCGCGCTCTCTACTCTAGGTATGCCTCGGCTATCTGCTCTAGATCTGAACGCGACAATATACATCTAGGTCCTACTTTTGCCTTCCTAGTCTTGCTAGTTGCTAGTAGTATGCATGTCAGTGAAGGATACGTGTGTGTGTGTGTGTGGCTTCTTGAGAATTGACAGTTAAGGATACGTGTGTGTGGCTTCTTGAGCATTGACGCTTGTCTGATGACTATGTTTTGCTGAAATTGTAAATTTATATATGACAGCGATACTGCTGATGGTGTTCACCGATGATGAAGATGATTTTTTGGAGCAATGGTGGGAGGAAGAAGAATCAGATGATGATGATTTGGTGGCGCTGTTGCTAATTCTTACCAGGATCACTAAATGATATCAATGTACTTCGAAGGTCTCCCCTTTTTCAGCGACTAACTTCAGGAACTTCACCTCTAATTGAGTACACTGTGAATAGCAATAAGTACACCATGGGTTATTATTTGGCAGATGGGATCTATCCTTCTTGGCCTACATTTGTGAAGAGCTACAGAAGTCCACAAGGTAACAAGAAGTCTCACTCCACACAAGCTCAAGAAGCGGCCAGGAAGGACGTTGAGAGAGCATTTGGTGTTTTGCAGTTACGCTTTGCCATGATTAGGGGTCCTGCAAGATTTTGGGGCAAGGATATGCTATGGTACATATTGACAGCATATGTGATCATGCATAATATGATAACCGAGAATGAGAGAGATGACGCCGATGTTGGGGAATATGACTATGATCAAGATGGGGGTGAGGAGTTGAGGCAGGAGGAATACCAACGCCGCAATCCAAATGTGATGTCCGAGTTTCTCAGGATACACAAGGAGATTGAAGATAAAGAGGGGCATGAGAAACTCCGAAACGATCTTGTGGAGCATTTGTGGGCACGACATGGCGCAAGTTAATTGTTTTGTTCGACTTTATGTTTCATGATTATGTTATTTGATTTGCAAACATGTTATGGATTATGTTGTGATCGACTATCATTAAATTCGGACAAAATTTGTGTTTGAATTTAAATTTAAACATTCATATTTTTATTTATAATTTTATTTAGGTATGGTGCTTTTATCGTTATTCATTATAGTTTAAATAAATTATTATATAATATAATGTTCTCCAATACATATGCATATAGTGTGTGAGAAAATAGAGGGAATTAAGAAGTAGGGGGCCCTGTTTTTGGGGCTACTACTGGAGTTCAGTCCAGAAAACAGGCCCCCCAATAGTGGGGGAGCACAAAAATGAAAAGTAAGGGTCCTGTTTTGGGGCTACTGCTGGAGTTGCTCTAAGGTCTTGATGGGTAAGGTGGGCTCTGTTTTGAAGGACCTTTCTATTTTTATGGCCTTTCTGTCCATGTCTCTAATTTCTTCATTTTTCATGTAATATATAAATGTGTAAAATGCCTAGAAAACACCTTGCAAATGCCTAGGTGCGCCTAGGCTCTAGACAGAGGGTCACGCCTAGTTAGCGCCTAGTGTCTGATACAACCTTGTACATATCTAAAGTGCATAGCAAACCATGTATGCGGACATTTCGGTGGCAACGCGGCAAACGCGACCCGTGGGGTGTGTTGTCAGCGCCCGAGGTCTCCGTGTTGTCGTCGCCAGTCTGAGGCTGGGGATGCGGCATACCCACCATCGCTGGGATCAATGGGGCTCTGATATCAATTGTCAGATCACCGCCGGCGTGGTTGCTGCCAGTGAGCTCTATCTCTCTCTCACGTGAACACAGAGGTGAACGCTAACTCACGGAGTTTTGGTGCTGGTAAAACTGCCAGCGTTTTCTTGTTTAGATTGCAGAATATAAGTGCAAGATACAGAGGCCGTGAGGCCGAGATTCGCGCGGCACGCCCGTGAGCATGATCTGCCATCTCCCACACCGCTGGGACATGCCGTGGAATAGCGCGGCATGGGCGACGTCGCGCGCAGTTACTCTATCTGAGAAACAGAAAACGGAAAAACAGCTATATCTAATCTACGCTGTACACTAACCGGCACAAGCTTATGTGCTTACACATATCACTGAATATATCGCCTAAATGTATGATTGATAAATTTATTGTTTTGGCACAATAGCATGGTTGTGCTGTCTCCGATGTCTTCAAATAGCATGGTTGTGCTGTCTCCAATCTTTTTGTGCAGCTCTGTAGTTTTTGTGGATGCTTATGCATGATGCACGAAGGCATGAAGAGGTGAACCAGGCAGCAGTATCGAGAAGTAGGCATTTTTTAGGTATTTATAACAACTCATTTGATTATAACAGGGTCAATGTTCAACCTAATTGTTATTTATTTATTTTTGTCGTCAGGCTTCTGAACCACCTTATTTGTGCATCTTTATATTGGAATTATGATTTGAGAAGACAGGAGCACCGATTCATCAACTTCGTTCTGCAGATCAGTGTCGTGTATGTTTATGGCAATGCATTTTAGATTGCCTCATATATTGTATTATTTTGAATTTAAACAGCTTCGAAGGAGATGTTAGCTAAAGTGAACTGCAAGGTGTGCTTGCAAGACAGTTTGACCATAATGGTGTTTCGATTACCTATGCCTATACTAAATCAAAACCATGATGCACACAAGATATTTCTTTCATATATGAGAAGAACTGAGACGCATGAGAATGAAATTTCTTGTGTCATGAGTGTACTATATAGATTGCAGCTAACACATATATGAAAGAATGAAAAAACTGAGAAGTATGCGAAATGAACTTATCCACAGCCATAATCGAAACAAACGTTCAGAAAAAAAAACACAGACGATAACAATCAAATAGTCCCTTAGCACTTACATCCAGAATCATGAGCACTCAGCCCATGAGCCTGCTGGCTGACGATGCTTATCAAGATCAGCTGAATCACCAGAAACACGGTAGGAAGGAAGTAACGCCTTCCTAGCATTGTATTGTATGAGAACAGTGAGCTTCAATTCCTAGTTCTTATGGGAGAACCTGGGGGTGTATGGTCAATACCAGTCACGAGGGAACCGCTGCGTCCATGAAGCATGCATTTCAACCGTATATATATTTGACCATGAAGCTGAAATGACAGAACTGCCACACGTCCATAGACCTCACTTGCTTCTGTTGAATGGTCAAATTAATGAATGGCACGAGACAAATAAAATGTGGAAGAAGGAAGCACCTTTTTGGGACTGCGACATCACTTGTGCAACACGTTTGACTAACAACGCGTTGCCAGCTGCACATTATCGGATCGAGATGACGACCGATGACATGCGGTCAAATTGCACTGACTGTCACACCAGAGACTAAGAACAGTGAGTCTTCGTAGGAAGATGTAGAGAAAATACTCTGGACCAAGGAGTCTTCGCTTGGAAAACCTTGATCATCATGGCGCAGAGAACGTGCTTGCTTGCTGAAAAAGCAGAGACTCACGGTCTTTGTATCACGTGGAAAATTATACATGCACAAGACTAAACCATCCATTACAAACAATCAAGCCCGATGACCAGTGGAGCGATATACAGTCTCGTGGCATGTGCCAGATGCTTGACCTTGTGCACTTTTAATTAATAATTTAGATGACAACACAAGCACTATAAATTTTGGGTTACATGCATGCGGATTTTTTCATTACTTGCACATGTATATGCAAATCATAACTATTTCTACATAGGATCGCACGCAGCAAGAGCAAAAGTAAATCAAGCGAACTTGCAGCTTGATCAAACATCACGCAATGTGAGTCAAGATTGCCATAGGCACAATCTGATACATAATCCTATCGCTCATGTTACTCATTCTATCTACACTTTTAGGGCATTTTCATTGGTATTGGGTTAAGTGAAAACAAATTACACAGTAGAACTGTAAATTAAATGGGCCAACATAATACTTAGGCAATGCCCTTCCGATGTAAAGCGGTGGACTATAGTAATAACTAGGTCCTTCAGTATATAATTGACTGTTGCAATCCTTTTATCTTGGTGTATTGTGTTTAATTAGAAACGATTTTAATAAGATACATAATACTATCTCCATATAAACAATTTTCGAGTAACATATATAAGTTATTGTCCTATTTGATGTAGAGTGGTTCACTATAGATGCTGGACCATTGGGAATGCTACAATATTTTGCTGAGAATGGAACTTGTGTAATAAAAGTATTGGGAGAATGTTAGATTGACCATCGTGGCAGTAAATGTTACTCCTAAGAATAGGTCAACCCTGACTATGTAATTATCCATGATCTGTGGGTCTAATTAATTACCCCATGATCTAGTCCTAGGCTAACCCGTACTACAAGAACCAAGAGGAGCGGGCCATGTGTTTCGACTGAAGAGAATGTGACAACTGATGGGGACTCCTGTGGACCGGACAGCAACGGGAGCTCGCACTACATCTGACGGAGTGCCACCATGTAGTTCACATCGTGTGCCTCAACCCAGCCGTCGTTGCCTTGCCGCGAGGCATCGAATTGGACACTGTGTTGTCTAATGCTCAAGGGCGCAGTCGAGGCCGCCGCCGCTCCCCTCCTCCACCACCGCTGGTCCCTCTCCCTTTTCCCTCCGGTAAGTCGCCGGAGGCCAGAGGGAGTGGAGATCTATCTCTCTAATAAGTTTATGGTTAGGGTCTCTCCATGCCAGTTTCTTGGTATTGGGGAGTTGTCTCGTCCTCCTCCTTCTCAGTGACGGCGAAGGGGTAGGGTGGATTTATTTTCTCCATAGCGACTCTGATGAAGATGAGGGTGACAACTACGGCGTTAGCAATTTACTGGGCATGATGGCATGGAGACTTAGGTTTCCAAACGACGACATCAAGGCGGAGATGATGTTGCCACCATGTAATAATTTTCTCCTATCTCTTCTCCATTTTGTTGTAGTTTGATCTGACCATGATGAAGGACTAGTGAGAATAAGTCTGCCCCTCAAGCCAATTGTTGGCATTGAGTTGGCAAGATTCAGATCAGTTTTCCTTATTCTTCGGTGGCGGAAGGAAGAAGAAGTTTCTCAACTTCACCTTAGGAATGTTGGCCACCGTTCGTTGGACATCTGTTCTAAGGCTTTTTCTTGAGTGTTTGCCTATGCGGTCATCCATACGAATGAATCGTCATACAGGTTTGGGATTGAGATTTGGAGCTATACAAAGCATGGGTACAATGTAGATAAAGAATATTCCGAGTTCTTGTAACACGATGATGTATTCTATAACCTAATATAATTCTTCTTTTGTCTAAAAACACCCAGTTGCCATTATCTTAAGGGCTCATTTGGCAGTAGTTGTTAGGTTGTAACAAATTTGTGAGTTGTAATACTTAAGTAGAAGGGAAGTAAGAAGGCGCAAGTAAGAGATGGACCAAGGAACTCGAATCTGTCCTCGTAGATCTCTCTCGCTCTCCTGCGTGTTCTGTTCTTCCACCCTACAATCCAATTCCCCAATTCCCCTACGCTAACACCATAACACCTAAGTTTGACGCATTCAAAGCCTGCGCGTTCTGTTACTCAAACCGTTAATCTGATCCAGTGAACTCTTCCACCGCCAATATGGTGCAGAAGAAAAACTCATTTGCATCTCGTAATAAAAAGAAGAAGAACATGCAAGAGAACAACAATGCAAAGCCTAAGCAGACTGCATAGTTTAAGAAGAAAAACAACAAGAAAGGTGGAGGTTGCTTTGTTTGCGGGAGTGATGAGCATTGGGCAAGTGCGTGCCCAGACCGCAAATATAAGCAAGAAAAGAAATCAGCAAACGCGGTCATTAGCGAGACTAGAGGAGGAACATCTGGGTATGGTAATTCTTTACCTTTTGTTCTTTCAGTTTGTCTTTCACCTGAGCGGTGGATAGACATTGGTGCTAATATTCATGTGTGTGCTGATGTTTCTTTGTTTATTTCCTATCATGCCGGCAGGACGGGAGCCTTGCTGATGGGAAACG